TATGCTTGTCCATTGACCAACAGGATATAAACATTGGGATACCATGTTTCGGAATACTGGTAGCTCGGGTTGATGAATCCATTGTTCATTTGTTCTCCGAGCTCGGAGATTGGTATACCAATTAACCAGCAGAAACATCTGGCACCCACGTGTACCTACAATGTTGTTTCGACCCAACAACGAGTTATACAGATGGGGGGATGGCGTAGCAATGAGACCTACGCTTGGTCCACTGATAGCGAACATCTACACAAGTCCGCTGAAACATATCTCCCGCCTGAAATTCTACCGGCGTTGTGTAGACGATATATTTTGTTTCAGCGATCGGACCATTAACCCGCATTTATGATAAAGGAAGAGAATGACAATCACATGAATTTTTAGACGCGTCTCATCAGAATGAACGATGGATCAGTCTAAATAAAAGCATAAAAAAATCGAACTGGACGGGGTAATACCCGAACTTTCACCACTTCGTCCCACTCAGTCGCAAAAGGACCTTGGTGCGAATTCTAACTAATCGAGCATACAAAATATGCAGCGAAGGCTCCATTGAAGCCGAACTCAAACGAATGGAAGAAACACTTCTCGAGAACGGCTATCCCCATTTTTGTTCAATTTCATCGTGGACTCTATCATGAAGTGTTCCCTTGCGGAAACTTACGATGTAAGCGTTGAGCTCCTGCCTGGTGAAAGGTTAGTTGATCTAGATTATGCGGACGATATCGTCTTGCTTTTCGACCATGTTGCGGCGGCACAATCAACCCTGAATAGCCTGTCTAGAGTGGTCCAATTATTTGGTATGCGCTTCGCACCAAAGTTTTGCCGCAGGACCACTAGCCATTTGATGACCCTTGCTAACGAGGAACTCAAGCTGGTTGATTAATTCACTTATCTTGGCAGCTGCATCAGCAACGATGGGCGCATGGAAAATGAAGTCAGTTCACGCATTTCACAATCCAGAACTGCATTGTTGAACCTGTGGTGTCTTGGGCGATAGAAGGGAGTTTCCCTCTGTTTGAACGGTTGTGCATACAAGGCCACAGTGAGGGCCGTCCTGCTCTATGGTAGTGAACCGGCCCCTTCGGTCTGAAGATCTGAGGCGTCTTTAATCATCGCTGTCTGCGAAGCAATGCTGGTGTCGGATGGCACCAGCGTGTCCGCAACGATGATGTGCGTAGGCGAGTACCAGGTAGTGATAACCACGATAGCTCGCTAGAACAACAGATAGCACTGAATAAGTTGCGTTGGCTTGGGCACGTGCTAAGTATGCCTGGTCACCAATTGCCTAGGAGGGTCTTGTTCAGTCTACCAGATGTAGAGTGGCGCAAGGCTCGGGGTGGACAGAAGTTGACTTGGCAACGGGAAATGAAGTCACTGACGACCAAACTGGGTGCCGTTGGTCCGTCTCGCCCTCCGCGCTGGAGTTCACGTTACTTACCTTGTGCTTGGCCCGAGACTTTACAGGACATGGCTCGTAACCGACACCAGTGGCGTGTTTGCTGTCGTCTCCTAGTCGGATTGCCTGTTTAAAGTGTTTGGTGCTGAGTTATCTGAGGCGTAACAACTGATTATGTCGCGGGACAGTGAAAGTCGGAATGAAGCTGTCTCGTCGATGCCGCCTTATCTTTGCACGATAGCCAGCTGTTTGTGACGGTATGTTGTCTACATAAGGTGTAAACGCCTTGACCCTGAATGTTTGTTTAGGGCAGCAAGGTTTTCAGGTAGGTCTCCCGTCTCTCCCTCTTATTATTCCTTAGGTTATCATGGTTGTATCACAGCGAAGCATCAGTTCAAATGGCTGATGTACTGATGTTGTTGATGAGCGCTTTTTCGAGGCCCATATGAGGCGAAGCACAGCAAATGTGCCGAAATAAACGGTCGAAAAGAAACAACTTTTATTGACTCTTTCGTTTAAAGGAAATAGTGTAGCTGAGATTTGCACATGTCATCATCATCATACACGTTAGCTAGAGGTGGGAAACACTTCAGCTACTGTGCCGCTGAAAACCAAAGTCAGGTCGTATAAGGCTTATTGCAGCTTTGATTTGCACACGTAGAATAAAGCAAAGCTGCAATAAGCCTTATACGACCTGACTTTGGTTTTCAGGAGCAGACGTTTACTAGTTCGTGGATTCAAAGACCGAGTGCCTGATCATCACCAATCAATGTTAATCTACCCGTTCATCTGCTAGGTACATTGGACGTACGATCAAGTAAGATAATCTAGGAACACTTCCCACGTTGGCTCTTCAATCACGAAAATAGTAGGAGTTACATCGCAAGTACGGACCATCTAATAAACAACGGTCACCAGGTAAACAGACAAACTGCATTTCAGATTCCCTACGAAATACCGCCTAAGCACAATAATCAATTAAGAGCAAGTTGACTTGCAACTACGGAAGTAGTATGCATATGGCTAACAAACCCCGACTTGTGTGCTCAGAAGAAAAGGATATAATCACTGCAACTCCCGTGGCCGGTCATCATACGGGAAAGAAATGACCGCATTCCGCGAACTCACCTGACCTCAATCATGTGATCGGAGGATTGACATCATGATCACAGGTCAAAGTATCTAATCAACTGGTTCATTGTCACGTTGACGAATACAAGCAACCTTATCCTATAGTATATTAGTGTATGGGCCTGAGGAAGAATTAACGAAAACAATGGTTTGCTTAAAGCATCGTGCTTTTTGTTTTTCTTTCTGAGCCCAGGACGATTTTATTTCGAGCCTAAATTCAAGATTTAAGTCCCATGTTTGTCACTGACCCCATGTGTTAGACGGGTTGGTTCAGTCGACTGGGTGACAATCTGAGGAAAATCGTTAGTTTGGTCCGCAGCACTCCGTAGGTAGCATCTAGCTCCAAGTGTTTACTGATCGAGTTCTACCCAGAGAGTCAGGCTTCGATAAACTTATGCGGTTTCCGGATTCTTGCTTTGCCTATTATTTAACGTGGTCCAGAGCGAATTGATGATTTGCAGCCTCCATATATACACCGAGATTAGTGACAGAAAATAAGAGCGATTAAGGGGAGTTGGTGAGTCGCTTCTATGGAAGTTGTACTGACGAGGTTAACTAGTCTGGTGATGAAATGTCCAAAGCTAGCAGAAGAATCCAACATTAACAAAGAGAAATAGAAGCAAACTTCATTATTGACATTGATAATTGATATCTCCTGAATGGAAGCAGAGTCAGGTGAATAAGACGAAATACGGGCAGCAAAAGAGCAAGATATGATAAGCGAACAGCGTGAGCATATGATACAATGAAGGAGTGGGGGCGTTTTTTCATGAACGGTTCGTGGCCAGACGATCCCAAGGAACCACCATGGGTTGGACGAGATTATTTATGACGAGTTGGGGCAAATCCAATTGTCTGATGTAATCAGGGGTAAAGATGGATTTCACAGTGCGCTTGCATAGGTCGGCCAATGTCCGAACTGGAAAGAAAAGGTGGCCAATAAGAGATGAAGAGAGTGGATTGGGTATATATTTAGATAGTAAACTCATGTGAGAAAAAACGTTGATGGAGGGTGTGAGATAATAGAAGTGGACCTGCAAGCAGAAATACTATTCATGTGACAACATAAATGGACTACTTAATGGATGGTCGGTTGTGTAAGTCATACTCTGAACCTTATAATGAACGACCTTAGGAATGGTAGCTACGCGTTCAACCGAGGGTGAATGTTTAAGTAGAAAGGCTTTAAGGTCCTGCTGAAGTTCAAGGTGGTCCGTCAATCACAGACATTCCCTCGCCTTCCGTCTCTCTCTCTCTCGCACCAACAGTCAAAGTTAGCAGGGCCGATGGGTTTTTGACACGGCACACGTTCATCTTATCCTATTTGGGCGATCGTCCTTTTCGTGTAACGTAGTTTTAGTTTCGTTCAACACAAGCCTTTAAGCTGTCAAGTCATGTTATCTGAAGGAATTCATGGTGAAGGGCGCAATAAGGCGAAATGGGAATCTTTTCGATATTTCTCATCAGGCTAATACATATAGAAAAACTGGTTAAAATCGTGATAGGCTAAAATGGCAAATGCTAATACTATAAGTGCCGCGCTCTTTGATAACTTAACTCCTATCGGATCACATCCACCCCGGCTCTATGGATTGCCCAAAGTGCACAAACCGCAGGTTCCTCTGCACTCTGTTATCGAGATGTCTGCCTCCGCCTTCCACTCGGTTGCGAAATGGATTACGGAATTGTTAGAGCCGGTACGTAAAGCCTTGTGTATTCATGCTTTAAAAGATTCTTTCGATTTTGTTACACGAGTGGAACAACCGAACGTAGACGGGAAATCGATGTTATCGTTTGAGGTCCAGTCACTTTTTACCAATCTTTTATTACTCGTGACTGTCACTTTCATCTGTGATTACATGACAGAAAATCATATAGATATCGGTATCCCGGTACTTAGATTGAAGGAATTGATCTTACGATGTACCTACGACAGGCAATTTTTATTTGAGAGCTGCTCTTATAGACAGATAGATGGGGTTGCAATGGGGTCACCGCTGGGTCCGTGGATGCCTGACATTTTCCGTGCTAAGCTTGAACACGGGCCCCTCCGACCAATCATCGCGTCTCTTCATTCCTACTGGAGGTACATGGATGATACCTTTCTCGTCTGTAATTCAAACGCCGACGTTGCTCATTTACTAGATCAGTTCAATAACACGCACCCCAGTTTAAAGTTTACAAGGGAAGTGGAAAAAGAACGGAGGATAGCATTTTTGGACGTCTTGCTAAGCAGACGAGAGAATGACACACTGCAAAGAAGTGTCTACCGAAAGCCGGCCTGGATAGGCCAGTACACACATTTTCGTAGCTTTGTACCGTTAAAGTACAAAGGAAACTTAGTGCGTTGCCTGTATTGTCGCGCTAGCAGAATCTGTAGCCCCGAAACTTTGGAAACTGAAAAGGATTTTATCCTTAGCACACTACAAGATAACGGTTATGCTGTTTCATTTATTCGGAGACACTCTGTGATCCGTGACCAAAGACAAAATATCATGACTGTGTCAAAGAAGGATGTTTATCTTACTGTTCCCTTTAAGGGAGACGTTCCCTTTGAGTTACTGAACAGAAGACTCCAAAATGCAGTGGCCAAGTCCTTTCCCGCTGCCTATCTGCAAGTAATTGTTGAAACGGCCCCGTTTATAACCCAACGTCTTAAGGATTGACTCCCGGTCCAGTCCGAATCTTTTATCCCATATCAATTTACTTGTACGTGTGGTGTAAGATACCTCGGACACACGACCAGACGGTTGGCGAATCGGATAGTAGAACATTGCCCAGCAGCGTTATGGAAGCACGCAGTCAACAGGGCCAACAGTGCTGTTTTGGAACATTTAGTCCAGAGCGGGCATTAAGTAGTGACGACAGAGGTTTTTCAAGTTTTATACGTTGTGCCGAAACACTAACCAAAAGGAGTTAAAAGGCGCCTACTCATGATGGTTATTTCGACCTGGCTGATGCAATCAGAATTATGTAAGCAGAGGATGCTAGTTCACAAGCCCTATTTACCCTGGCCATAATTTTACTGTGACTCGCCGTTCTCCTCGACCTCCGAAAGTGACCTTTTCACCCCATCGGACAGCTGAACTGTGGTGTGTTATATTGTGAACATGCGTGTATATGTGTCAGCTTAGCTTTTACAATCAATTGCAAAGGATCGAATACCAAGGCAGCCTGTTTGGAATTGACCAACCCTAGACTTGACATTTTAGCCTATCACGATTTTAACCAGTTTTATCTATGTATTAGCCTGATGAGAAATATCGAAAAGAAATTTCTTCGCTGAGCTGTGTGTTGCTATCTCTATGGGTACATTTCACGAATATGGAATCTGTTCGGTTGATCTGCAGTCAACCCTCAAACAAGTTTCCGTTGCGCCCCACCAATCGGGCAGAAATGGTGACGTTTAGTTTAGTTCTCTAATGCTTCCAGATGCAATGGTAGCGAAGAGTCCCCTCGGAAACAATCGCTTAGGAAAAAGGGTAGACTAGAAACACCTCGAGATAAGAGAGAACCTGATATCCTGTATGAATATCGGAAACCATTGGAGTGCAACCAATGAGGAGAGGGGTGACAAAAGGTGTAGATACAGGAAGGTGTAGTTACGACACACCGGACTATGCCACTTGCAAGTGCCTATAGTGCGGTTACTCGAGTGTGGAAATACGCCACCCTAAAACTGACGACACAAGCTTCGCCTATGCAATGGAACTGGCGATTCAGGTGGCACGATGATCTGAGTGCCTTTGCAATTCACCAAGTTATACTGGGTGGTACTTTCCGAGCGTGCGCAGAGCATCGATATTCTGTCGATGTCCCGCATCTTTCAAAAGTAAGTCTCATAAGACCACGGATCAACCACTGTAAATAAACAATGTGTCAGCTGTACGTCGTAACGGCGCTTCGCTGCCGCGCAACCACCACCAGTCGCGTATGGGCTGTATATCGCGACGACGCCCACCCCTACACGGATTCGAACCGGTGACCTTATGGTTGCAAACCAGGCGCGCAGACCACTCGGACACCGGCCGAGATGGAGCATCTAATTTCCGGCGGATTCCAAAAACCATGAAATATCGCATAAATGGGATGCAAACATGCGAACGTATGTGTGGAGTTAACTACTTTGCGGGTGTAGAGCTCGAAGAAGCAAAAATTGCACGGAATCATTGTGGACTTATTGAGCTTGCGCGTGATTAGCTACTATTAGGTCCATATAAATCTCCGACGCACACATTAGAGTTGGGGCTTACAAGGTTGATACCCCCTGTTGGATGAACGAGTAAGTCACACCCACCTTCGCTTAGTGCCCCCATGAAGATGAACTGCACCGTAAATCACATCTTATGCATAGAGCAGCAGTGGCCACACAGACTGAGGATTTCAGTGGTGGCCACGCGTCACGCGCTGCAACGGATGCTACAACTGTGACTGGACATATTTTGAAGGTTGGAGTTGATCAAAATGTAACTGGTCAATTAGATTAAATGGAACCTACAGGGCAACCGCATGTAGAAGGCTCGATCGAAAAGCTGAAGGAGAAGAAATAACCAACACCTCGATGTATGAGACCAATTTGTCCCATAGGTGAACTTCCATCCTCCATAACTGCGATCATTGAGGTTAGCAGAGACGGACTGTAAACAATAAACCGTGCTTTGAACGAAAAATCTGCCACATGAACAGTACGATCATCACGTGTGGGTCTCCGGGTGGGTTGTACACAATGGTGCAGTATAATTTAGGAAGACTTCCGGGAATTCATGCCCGCCACACTTACCAGCTTGCTGGAATATGCAGATATTACTCCATAAACCCAAACGACAGTTTTCTGATGCAATGGTTCACACTGCGTTGCAGTGTCAACTGGACGAACATATGCTCTGGATAAAAAATGATTGCATTGGCTACGGGGGAAGTACGCGACGGTCAAGTTTGTTAACCGAGCAAGAGTGCTTGCCGGATTCCCATTACATCCCAGCTCGCACAACTCCGGTCATTGTAAAATGTACGACTGATATTCTTACTGGGTCACTTGAGTTCACTACCTGTAGAGGGATGAGATTAGACTGAACTGAAGGCTCAGCTATCAGCGAGCATGAAAAAGCGCCGAATAAAGACTGGTACCACCCCGGTTGCTTACGGGGTTCGCTAACCGTCAGCGTGCAGTATCGAGTACTTTGACGGGAACGAGAAACAGAAATTCAGTTAAATGTAGCTTCAGGATGTGTAACAGATTTTCAGCGAGGTACGACCATGAACACTACGTCTGTCGACCACTATCAGTGAACAGCAAAATACAGAAACGAAGACAGTCGGGGTAATCAGGATTGGATGAATGGTATTTCATTTCATATGCCGCTGATCTATACCCAGATCGAGTGAAAAGGACTTTTACTGGAACATTTCAGAAACTGCACGGGGTGGTCCTTGTCAAACTTGGAGGAAAACTTCGCAGAAAGGAGAAAAACAAATCGAAACAATTGCCTGTTAGTGCCAAGCTGTCCAACGCTATTTGGCAGGTCTGTGAGTTGTCACAGATAAGAGTAATATTGTTGGAATACTCCAAGCCGGGAAGTAGATCATCAGGAAGCAGCTTCAAACCTTCGAACTAGTGTCCAATGAACGCATTTTCCACAACTTCGTCAAAAGTAAGGTTAAAAAGGAAAGGCGAGGACGGGCATCCCTGTCTCACACCGCTGGAGAAATTAAAGGGCGGTGACAGCTCGCAATAAACTCTCTCGGCTCGAACTACGCACGTAAAGCGACATTATAATAGTACAAAAAATCGGGCAAATCTTTCTTAATCAGACAGTCCCAAGAGGCATATTGATCCATAGATTCGAAGCGCACGATTAAGGTGGGTCGCCAACGTAAACCACGGCGCTCTAATAATTGACGAAAAATGAAGACGTGATCAATGCATCCTCGATTTTGATGAAACACAGCTTGTTCTCCCCGAATCGGGCTGTCACGGGTGCCAGTTAATCTGTGGAGAACGACAGAAGCAATCAACTTGGGATCCACGACTGTAACAGAGCGGCTTCAGTCGGTGAAGACAGTGTCCGGTTTCGACAGCCTCATTAATAGATCGTTTAAATAAACTAAAAAGTAGGTTCACAGAATTTGAGAGCTGGAGGAAAGCAATCTGATTCTGCGGCTTTTGCAATCTCAGCAGTTCGATCTCGCGTTTAACTTATGCGCAAGAGGACGGCCTAGAGATCAGCTTTTCAAAGTGCACAACCAAATGCTACAGGTGTCTTGACAATTTTTGGACAGGCTGTCCACTTTCGTCGCATATAGATCTCCTGCAACCCAATTCCCGGATCAAACGGAATAATCTCCGATGGTTACCGATGCAAGATGAAACCACCAGGTTTCAAGGCATGATTTCAGGTTGGTACACAATTTTGCCCTCAGACTTTTGCGAATCTCGTTGTGTTCGCTCCCAGCCGGAATGCGCCGATGAGCATGCACTGGTGACAGAAACTGCGTAGATACCTAGTGTCCAAGTTGGTAATCAAATTTGCCACATGAAGTCGTACTTGTTGCTAACAAGGCCTGGTGAACATGTGATCACTGACCGTCAAGTGTGATCAGCTCGGATGCCAGCACAATTTATTACGCATTCAGAACATCTGGCTTCACCAGTTGGCAAGTCGTTGTGGACGTCCGCCGAAACGAACCTGCAAATCGGCACATACAAAAGCGTGATTGCAGTCCACGACTGCGCTCCAGATTGAGTGGTAGTTTTGAACACAGCCTCTCCAACATTAATTGATCGCGATGCGATCAATTCGCATCCATGGCTGGTGGGCACTATGTCAACCCGAGAGATGCTGTGTCGGTAGTTAGTCCTCTGGCGAGAATCAGACGCACATCTTCACAAAATGTAACAACTGCTCACCACTGTTATTACGGGAGCCTACATCGTGTTGCCCACTCATATACAGCCAATCAGTGGACAATTTCCCGACCTTAACGTTCAGATTACTAGCCAGTACTTCTACCGTATCCGCACTTCTTTTGTGAAGAGAGAGATTGTTCAGTTGACGATAGAAGTCAACTTCCACTGACTCAGTGCTAGTTTGTGGGGACATCATTCGTTTTCGCGCGATTTCGATTCCTTGGATGAGCCAGCCAATCCGACGGCGCAAATCCGGCATTTGAGTGGGATCCAGTCTACCAGAGTAGTTTCAGCCCGGAAGCTCAAATACTCATGCCGAGTTAACCGGCATTTGAAGCTGCATTATTTGGATAGACGCAGTGAGAAAGTACCGCATGTCACATGAAGACGGTCACATGGTTTGAGTTTTGCAGGTGGATTTTCGATAAGTAGCAAATATCGATCGACGGGATCTCTAGTGTTCGGGAAAGTGTTATCTGTTGATGGATCTGTAACCAAGTGCGCACATCAATGTATGTCAGTGCTAGTGAGGGGCGAGAGCTACATGCAGCAGCGCATGAGCTGAGATTATCCGACCGGATAAACATGGATTTGTCAACTGGATCAGAGTTACACCATGCAGTTGCGTGAGTCGAAACTAGAAGACAGATGCCAATTAAAACAAGGTGGGGAAAGGACAAGAATTTGGAGGTTGAAAATAGGGGGATAAAAGTGAGGATGAAACGGGACGACGGGGATAAAAAAGCGCAAGAGGAGGAACAAGAAGACAGGAGGGCTTGAACAGTATCATCCCCATTCCTATCCATCCTCCTCAACGCAAAGATATGGCGACATTGGCTATTCTCTGCTTGAGTTTTATTGCATTGTGCTGGCAGGATACTGTCAGGTTGCCCATGCCTAGACAAGAGAAGAATTAGGGTAACGAACCAAAGCCTTTGGTACAAAGACCTGACTGCAAAGCAAAAGTTTGGCAGTGAGATACAGAGTCCATCTTAAAAAAACAGACAGCTTTGCTCACTCCAACTCCCAACTTGGAGGGGGAGGAGACTGAGTTTGTCTGGTCTCTAGGCCCTGATGAATCTGGTATTGGTGGTTCTGAAAGTGCAAAAATCACCCCCATCACAGCTCAATGCATCGATGGGGAACGCAAACCCCTTGGCGGAAGGTCAGGGGTGATAGTAGTCTCGCCACTAAGGGTTGAGTCAACAATGCCACTGTCGGTTCAAGTTGATTAGACAGTTGCGAGGACTGGACAATCAAATCGACAGACCTAAAGAGTCTAGTTACGTTCGACCACCGGTGTCTTCGCATTTTAGCTCACATTTAGTGAGAATCCCCTGTGAGCAATGAGCGTGATCGGCATCTTAGTTATGGCGCAGGAACAGGAAATGGACCGCTCAGCACCGTTATTTCATGAACCAGGCTCCGATGGCTGGGCCACGTGTTGCGCATGCTAACACACCCACTTCTGCGACGTGCGTTGTTTGCGCGCCCGGGGTCCGGATGAAATAGGGGGAGAGGAGGCCAACCAGTATGTAATAAAGAGGAATGAAGACGCTCACTTCGAACTTGGCCTCAGTTAGTTCCTCCCGACCGACAAGTTGGGGTCCGAAAGACGATAAACACGTTTCGCTGGACACACATATACACTGGTGAAGAGTCGACTACAATGGGATTTGTGTTGTGAGTTCCTTTGTCCCTCCCCTACCTTTCCCATCACGAGCTCGCCAGTGATGCATAATAAAATAAAGTGTGAAATCACTGACAAGTAATACGCATCAACCATTCGGTAATAGGTTGATAGTCGAAAGAATCTGCAGGTCGGAGGGGAACCAAACGTCGGTTTTAACACTAGCAGCAGGTATTAAAAAGACGTGGTTGCCGTAATCGGTTTCCGCAATGAGTTGGTCTATTAAATACTTCCATCCCACATGCAATGTTTAATTGAAAAGGACGCCAAATAGCCCCACAGCAACTCGTGATTTCCGTGTTAGATAGATTTCAGGGAAATGAATAGCGGATCAAGGAATAAAAATCTGTGAGACCAACCGAGACACATGTATGAACTCGAGTGCTACAGATGTGCAGTGGTTAGTGCGTCCAGTCTAATGAGTGGCCGATAGTCCAGTTGGGCGTGGGATCAGTTCCGTGGACTACGATGAATGTGGTAGCGGAATCAACACTAAGTGAGAACTAGATAGACAGGAAATGTAGGATCGATGCAAATAACTTGTGCGGATGTAGCGATAAGGAGGGGGAAAGCGGTAAACATACTTGGTAGTCTAATCGTGATTCGGATAGTGTCAGTATTATCGGAACGCATGTATTGTTCAGTCGGGATGAACACAGACAAATTGGTAGAGGTGAGCGAATCTTCGGGATCCAGTGGTGCGGGACTGGTCACGCTGAGGGACATCGGGAAGAATGAAACGGAATCAACTGCCAACCACGGGTGAGTGAGAAAGCTATAGAGACTGCAACTTCGGCCGGCACCGATTGAAGCGTATAACACACGGCGACCCTGGGTCAGAACAAAGAAGCAGTAAGGATTTACAGATGATAAACCGCAGCTGATGCACTGTGATAACTAAAATGAAGAGCCTATTTAAAAAAAACGCCGGGAGTTTAGAGAAAGTAAAAGCCGATACAACAGTCCAACTCACTGGTTGTGTGTCAACAGACTTGCACACCACTAAGGCTGATTTCCGGTTGATGTAGTCAATAGGAAAACATCGTGAGTACGGAAAATCGGTACGTCATGCACACGAAGCCGCTGAGCTGTAACACGTTCCACGGATGATAGTAAGAAACTGGGCGCGTTGGTGCCAGGAACGGTGGGCATACTGATAGTCAGACGATAGCTGCTCGGTTGTGCAATACCTACAGACTTCGCAAGAGCAAGAATAAGCGAGCGCATCATCGGTTATAAAATATGTTATTGAAGATTTCGGTTTCGCACCGATACTCAGTCCGATGCAATTCCAAGAGACCAACAGTAGGGCATAATTTCGCGGATCAGAAATACACATTCGGTCGTTCTTGTTTTAGACACACAGCAATACAGAAACAGTTCCAAATTTCGGTTATTTTTCAAACACAACTATCTTCGACGTAAAAGGGGCATGCAAAAAGGTGAGCATTTGCAAGCACACCCTTACAAAGGATGCTGTAAGGAATATATATATCAAAGTTGGCAGCATTCGGTTCCAGATTTGCCTGTCACTGGGGCCTCCATGGGACAGCCACAGGACGCCTGCGCCCACGGAGTGACCATGACTGGCTTGCACTGCACCACCCACAGCTCAATTCATACACGCAGTATCCAGTGTACACCAAAAGGAATAAGACCGGCGGGCATATAGATGGCTCTGGCCACCGCAGAGGAAAATCAACGGTGCCCTATCTGCTGCATCGAGCAGGGTGGATAGGGGTTTGAATGCTACTGCTCAAGCCTTCCCGTCTTCTTATTCCCCCTCTTACGCTTTTTCACTCTAACCGTCCCGTTTCAACTTCACTTATATCCTCCCAGTTTTCAACCCCGCGATTCTTGGCCCTCCCCCAACATGCTTTGCTAGGTATTTATCTTCTAATTTCAACTCACATATGAACGCAGAGCGTCGCTCCTCTCCTGTCGACAAGCCCATGTCCAACCAAGCGGTCCATTCCAGTTCATCGGCTCCCATTTAGAGCCCTCGATCCTCCTTCAGATTGGCATGCCTCAATGTACGCACACTGCATCAGATCGGTCAACAGGCAGCACTCGCCCGAACATTGGAGACCCTCTCGATCGATATCTGCTGCTTATCAGAGACCCACCTGCAAGACTCGAGCTCTGTGCTCACTCTGCGATCCTCTTCAGGTGACGCAAGCAGTATTTTCTCTTTGTGTCTATCCGGTGACGATGCAGCTTCGAGCACCGGCCAAGTTGGTGTTGGCATTGCGCTGAGTACCCGGGCTGAAGCTGCTCTGGTTGATTGGATTCCAATCAGTAGCCGGATGTGTGCGGTACGATCGGCTGGCTCGTTTAAAGCTTCAAAGTCTCGCTGGACTAATAGATGCCTATTCATCGTCGCTGCCTACGCGCCCACAAACTGTAGCGATGGTTCGGTAAAGAACGACTTCTATCGCCAACTGACCCAGCTCCTTCGCCACAGAAGAAGCACGGACACTGTTGTGCTGGCGGGGGATATGAACACACAAGTTGGAAAGTTGTCCACTGATGAAATGCATCTGGGCGGTCAGCACGGTGTAGGCTCCCGTAATGATAACGGTGAGCGGTTGCTTCATTTGTGTGAAGATGCTCGGTTATTTCTTGCGAGCACTAATTTCCGACACAGCACCCGCCGGAGGGTGACTTGGCGCCCACCAGCCTCGAACCAGCCTTGGACGCAGATCGATCACATTGCTATTAGTAACCGCTGGAGAGGCTGCATCCAGAACTGTCGCTCGATTTGGAGCACATGTGTGGACACCGATCATGCACTTGTATGTGCTGACATGCGGATGCGTTTTGATGGACGCCCACGACGACGATGGGAGCGAATCGACACCAACCAAGTAACAAAGCCAGCTGTTCTGAATGCGTATCGAAGTACGCTGACATGCGAGTTGAGCAAGCGCTCACTGGAGACAATTGATGGTCACTGGTCACATGTTCACCAGACCTTACTAGCAGCGGGCAAATCCTCGTGTGGTATGTCTAATGGCCAACATGGATATTGGGTCTCTTCGCAGTCTCTAGAACTTATCGACGCTTGCAGGCATATCCCGGCTGGAAGCGAACACAATGAAACTCACAAAGAGCTCCGGGCAAGACTTCGTGCTAGCCTGAAGAGAGACCGCGAATCTTAGTGGTCTCATCGTGCGTCAGAGATGGAAGTGGCCGCTGCCCTTGGCAACCATCGTAGGTTATTCCGTCTGATACGGGAAACGCGCATCAGGAGACCTGATGTTAGTGAAACAATTTGTGACGAGAGTGGACAGCCTATCCACAATTTGTCAAAACGTTTGGAGCGTTGGACAGAGCATTTTGAAAAGCAATTTAATCGGCTAGAATTATTCGATTCGCCGGCCAGTGATCGCCCTTCTCCGTGGGCTGTCCCTTTGGATCCACCCTCTCGCTCAGAAGTCGAACCTAAGATCGGACTATTGAAATTGAACAAAGCCGCGGGACCAGATGATCTTCCTCCAGCCCTCTTCAAATTCGGAGGCTCTGCTCTTGTTGATGCTTTACATGAATTACTAGTGAAACTGTGGGAGCAGGAGACTGTCCCAGCCGACTGGAGCCGCTCCGTTATTGTTCCCATCTTCAAAGGCGGCTCGCACTCGGAATGCGGCAATCATAGAGGAATCAGTCTGATCACCATCGCCTCCAAATTACTCGCCTCCATAATCCTTCACAGACTGACTGGCGCTCGTGAAAGCCACATTCGTGAGGAGCAAGCCGGGTTTCGTCGGGGTCGTGGCTGCATCGACCACATCTTCACCTTGCGTCAGTTGTTGGAGCACCGTCACACATATTGGCGGCCCACCCTAATCGTGTTCCTCGACATTAAAGGTGCCTTCGATTCGGTTGATCAATGTGCCCTATGGAATTGTTTACTCAGGAAATGTGTGCCCGAAAAATATGTAAATATTATCCAAGCATTATATTTGCGTAGCACGGGCAGAGTGAGGGCTTACGGCAAGCTGTCGCCACCCCTTCAATATCTCCAGCGGTGTGAGACAAGGATACCCGCTGTCACCTTTCCTTTTCAACTTCGCTATTGACGAAGTCATGGAGTTTGCATTTACAGGACATGACTTGGAAGGTGTGGAGCTACTCCCAGGAGAACGACTTCTTGACTTGGAGTATGCAGACGACATTGCCCTCATCTGTGACAGCTCCGAGACGTGTCAAGCCGCGCTGGACAGATTAGCACTGGCTGTCAGCCGCTTCGGGCTTTGCCTTGCACCATCGAAATGTAAAGCTTTCCTCCAAGATTGGCAGGGATCGCCTCCTGTGCTGACCATTGGTGGGGATCAGCTAGAACACGTTCGTAAATTCAACTACCTGGGAAGTTGTGTCAGTGTCCGTGGGATCGAAGACGAGATCACGAACCGTATAGCGAAAGCTCGAAGTGCTTTTGCTAACCTTCGCCACCTATGGCGGCGGCGCGACATTACTCTCGCCCTGAAGGGTAGAGTGTACAATGCAGCGGTACGTTCGACCTTACTGTACGGATGCGAAACCTGGCCCCTAAGATTGGCAGACATGAAGAGGCTAGTTACGTTCGACCATCGGTACCTTCGCAGTTTGGCTCACATCTGGTGGGAACACCGCGTGAGTAACGAGCGTGTTCGACGCCTTGTTTACGGCACAGAAAAAAGGAAATGAACCGCTCAGCACCGTTATTTCACGCACCAGGCTCCGATGGCTCGGCCACGTGTTACGCATGCCAGCCCACCGACTCCCTCGACGTGCGTTGTTTGCTCACCGGGGATGTGGATGGAAGAAGTGGAGGGGTGGCCAAGCAATGACTTGGTCCAGAGGAATGAAGGTCCTCACTTCGGAGCTAGCCTCGGTTGGAGCGTCACGGCTCCCTGGTTGGGGCCCAAAAGACGGTGAACACGTTTGGCTGGATACACTTGCTGACATGCCAAGGAGCCGACCTCAGCGGCGTTTGTGCTGTGAGTTTCTTTGTCCCACCCCATCCCTTTTAGCCTCCCCCTCCATCTACGATCTCATTTCGTAGCGCAAAACATAATAATTTTTGCCTAGTAGCCGGCTGGAAGCTTACCGGAACGATGCCTATCCGTTGCTGGTAGCTCAGCTGGCATGCAACTGTTGTATTCATTTTTCCCTTTTCATTTAAGTATTGTATGTATGTACGTATTTCCTTTATGTATTGCGGCACAATAGCGGAGGTGTTTCCCACCTCTAGCTGACGTGTTTAATGATGATGATGATGATGATAGGTCTCATCAGCAGTATTCCTGTCTAGAGAATGTGGGAATCATGCGTACCATATGTACACAAGGCGGTGGGTGGGCCGCAGCCCGCTCCACACTGGACGCAAGGAACCACCCTTTGAGCATAGTACCGTCAGGAAAACCGTGCTCCCGGTCTCCCACAACGACTAACTCTCCTGGAACCAATATAGTCAAGGTGGTAGTTTTTCAACAGGTAGGCACGTTATCAACATTCACATCAAGCACAGCCACACCGGGGATGTCAATCAACAACCAACCCCTGAAATGCAAGAAACCCAACATGCATGCTCACGTACATAACATATGCAGCTGTGATGTAGCACACGTACCACATCAACCGCTTTAGTGGACTGGGTTAGTAAATTGAATCGGATGCAGCGTACTTATGAGGCGCTGCGCTGATGATGATTACCTATCCAGCTCCATCATGGAG